GTCTCTTGGATCTTGATCTTTCGTGGTCCCAGACTGGGGCTCCCCAGTCCCCCGCCACGGATTTCGCCTTTGTCCGCTGGTAATCATTGTGTTGCGGTATTGTCAGTTTGGTTTAGGTACCTATCCCATATGAGTTGCGCCTTAGCTAATGCGGGCCTCGGGCCAAATTGGTGTTGGTGCATGGCCTCATATGACCAGTTGAGTGCGATTTGGTTTCTTAAATGTGTACGTGACGGTATGTCCTTGGACTTCCAATGTCTCGCTATTAGAATATGTACTGATGCCAGTGTATGGTACATTAATGCTTGGTGAGCTTTGGGCATTCTTTCGGGGAATACGTACAGCATGCATTGCACAGGGTTTTTTTCCACTTGGTAGCCTAACATGTCTGATACGATATGTATGGCTTTTGTCCAGAGAGGTACAAGTGCGGGGCATGTCCACCAAACGTGGATCATCGTGCCCACTTCTTTCTCACAGCGCCAGCATATGTTTGTGGAGGTGGGCCAGATTTTGTGTATTTTTTCTGGCACTAAGTACCAACGGTATAGTAGTTTCCGTTGTATTTCTAGGTGTTGGGCGCATGATGTCAGGCCTTTGTGTGCTGAGTAAGCTTTTTTCCACTGTTCTGAACTCTATGCCTAGGTCTGTGTGCCATGCCTTTTGGTAGTTTTCCTGTGTCAGTGGTTGGTTGTGTAAGATCAAGTGGTAGCATGAGGAGAGGGACTTGGCGTTGGGCTTGTTAGAAAGGCACATGTTTTCGAACTTAGATGTTAGTTCTTGTGGTACCTTCTCAGGGTTTCTGGGTGGATTATGTTTTAGTAGGGACTTGACTTGCAGGTAGTGGAATAGGAATTTCGCGGGTAGGTCAAATTGTTCCTGTAAGCTAGGGAAGGATTTGAGGTGCTCCCCATCGTACAGATGTAGTACATGGGTGACGCCTTTATCTATCCATGGCTTGTGGTTAAAGGTAGGAATCATCAGGCTTATGGATTGCATTGGGGCCGCTATCGGTATCTTTGGATGAGTAACCAAAGTGTTCCTTACCCCGTCCCATGTGTCTAACAGCAACCGAGTAGTGGGGAGGCCTTGGAACGGTCTTGGTCTCCGAGCGCTATCAGTCCAGAAAGTATGGCGTATGTGATCTATGTTAAGCCAAAAGGCTTCTATTCCTGCCCACTGGGGTGTGTAGTGGGGGTCATGTGCAGCTAACATGGTGCTTAGAATCGCTGCCTTATAGTAATGATACAGGTTGGGGATGCCCAGGCCACCGTCTGCGACCCTCCTCTGCAGGACCTTAGCGGCTACCCGGCTCTTTTTGTGTTGCCACGTAAATTTCATAAATAGTGCGGTGATCGACTTAAGGTAGGTGTTTGGTAGGGGTATTTGTAGTGTCCGAAAGAGGTATAGTAGTTTTGGGAGCAGTGACATTTTGAATGCTGCTATGCGCCCCAGCCACGAGAGGAACTTCCCCTCCCATGATTTGAGGGTGTTGTCGATGTCTTTTAAGAGTTTAATATAGTGTGCGTGAAAGAGATCTGTGGGTTTTTTCGTGAGTTTGAGTCCTAGATGTGTTAAATAGTCCGACCTCCAGTCTAAGGGGAACGCATCCTTCAGTCTGTTTCTCGCCTCTTTAGTCACTCCTATCGTTAATGCCTGTGTTTTGGAGACATTCAGTTTATAGTGGGAGTGGTGGCCAAAAAGTTCTATTTGTCGCATTAAGTTGGGCATGGATATGAATGGCTGGGTTAAGGTGAGGAGGATGTCATCTGCAAATATGTTTAGTTTGAATTCTTTATCTCCTAGAGGGATGCCATGGATGTTCGGGTCTGACCTGATTTTGGATGCCAGTGGCTCCAAAGCCAGTACATAAAGCATAGGGGAGAGGGGGCATCCCTGTCTGGAGCCATTAGAGATTTTTATGGTCCGTGACGGGAATCCTGCGTATAGAACTTGTGCCGATGGTTCGTTGTATAGGCCGAATCTGTGGAGTACCCTGTTTAAGAAGGTCCAGTTGAGTCTGTCGAAGGCCTTCTCCGCATCTAGGGAGACGAATAGGCCCTCCCTTCCCAGTTTTCTAGCGCTATGCATTAGGTTTAGAACTTTGCGTGTATTATCTGAGCCCTGTCTACCCTTTACGAAACCCACTTGGTCGTCATGTATGAGGTCCGGTAGGATAGTTTTTAGCCTATTGGCTTGTAGTTTTGCAAAGATCTTGGCGTCTGTATTGAGTAGGGATATCGGTCGGAAATTTGGGCATGTGGTCGGGGATTTCCCTGGTTTGGGGAGGGTGGTGATATGCGCTCGTAACAGTTCCGATGGTAGTGAGTGGTTGTCTATGGCGCTGTTAAATAAGGTGGTCATTGCAGGGGCCAGGACGTCCGCGTATTTGTGGTAGTATGTGTTCGCAAATCCGTCAGGGCCTGGCGCCTTACCCGTTGGGAGATTTTTTATTGTGTCCTTTACTTCTTGTTGAGTGATAGGGGCTGAGAGAGCTTCTCTGTGCTGTTGTGAGAGGATTGGCAAGTGGGCATCTTGTAGGTAGTTATCCATTTGTGTGGGGATTGTTAGGGGCGTTAGTGGGTCTTTCTTTAGGTTGTATAGGGTTTCGTAGTACGTGGCAAATTCGTCACAGATATCTTTCGGGGCAACCAACCTGTTTCCGTGTGGGTCCTGTATGTGTGCTATTTTAGATGTTGCCTGTCTATGTCTGAGCCTTTGGGCTAGTATTTTGCCCGCTCTGTTGCCCTGGGAGTAGTGAGTAGCTTTCAATTTCCGTAATGAATAGCCCACTCTCGTAATTGCGAACGCCTGTATTTTGTCTTGTGTTTCTGAGATTTGGCTTTTTAACTCTGGCGATGGGCTCATTTGGTTTAGTTTGTTGAGGTCGTGCAGTTGTTTGTACCATGTGACCTTTTGTGCGTGGGACGTCCGTTTAAGGAAATGTGCTCTTTTGATCAGTTCCCCGCGTATTACGGGTTTGTGGGCTAGCCAGGTGATCTCCGCCGAGATCTCTGGTGCGGTGTTTTCTTTAAAGTAGTGTTTGAGTGTGTTTTCTATGTGGTCTGTGAATGTTTTATCGTGTAAGAGTGTTTCGTTCAGCCGCCAGGGGCTTCTGTTGTGGCCCTCAAATTTGTCCTTTAGTTCCATAGTAATAGGTGCATGGTCTGACCACGTAATAGTCTCTATTGTGCATTTGAGTACCTGTGTTAGGTGTTTTCCTTCCGTGAGGAACCTGTCAATTCGCGTGTAAGAGTTGTGAACCGAGGAGAAAAACGTGAAGTCTCTCTCCTCGGGGTGGAGGACTCTCCACGTGTCGTAGAGATTATGTTCGTCTAGTAGTCTCTGATATGTGGTGCATTGTCTCCTGGCTGGGTTGTTTCCTTTCGTATTAGGACCTTTGGACAAGTCTAACCCGGGGTCTAGAATGTGGTTAAAGTCTCCACAGATTATTAGCATTCCCCTCTGGATCGGTGCTATTTTAGCTAGTGTTTTATGTAGGAAGTTGCGTTGTTCTGAGTTGGGTGCGTACACATTTGCTATGGTGTAGGTAATGTCATTGATAGTGCATACCAGTATGATATATCGGCCTTCCTCGTCTATGACTAAGTCATGTTCGGTGAATGCTACTCGGCTGCTGATTAGCACAGAGACCCCTTTCGTTTTGGATTTTGCTGTAGCGTGTTGTTGGTATGGGTATGCGAGGGGTTTAAGGAGATATGGTTTGGTGAGATGTGTCTCCTGGAGACATACTATGTCTGGTTGGGATTTTTGGAGGTCGTGAAGTAGAAGGTGGCGTTTGACAAGGGAATTTAGCCCCCTTACGTTATGGCTATATATTTTCATAAAGGGAAGGTCTGTGAGGAGTGCTATCTGTGCCGTTGTCTTCGTTAAATTTGTGTTTTCCCAGAATGCCCTTGTATGTCTTGGTGTTTGAGTCTAGTGTGATGTGTGTAGGTAGTGGTGCCGTGGAGTATATACTTGCTGTATTGCTGAGTGGCTGCTCTGGCGGATCCGCGTGGGGCGCATCCGTGGTGGGTCGCGTTGTTCTCTGGGCCCTCTGTGTCTGTACTGGAACTGTATGGTTATGCAGGTTCATATCCTTGGATTGTCTAGTGTGGTCTGGGTAGGGGAGGGAGGATAAGAGGTTAATACAGGAAAATAGAAGAAGAAAAAACAGTGCGGCAAGGACCGCAGAGCCCAAGGTGGGCTGAGTACCCCGATTGGGTACCATGGAGGTAGGCAACAACAAAAACATTAACAAATATTTTGTACGATTAGCCCTAACGTTTATCTAAGCAATTCTGCATACCATATGGAGATATAGTTACTTCAAAAACATAAACAAAAACATTTTTTTTTTTTTGTCCCATAAACTTAGTTCCACAGATCCCTGTCCGGGCTACTCTCAAATGAGAGGCCAATTGGTCTGTGCATCCCCAATCTTCCCTAGGGTGACTTGGGGGGATGGGTGACCCCCGTGACATCAATCTTTTTACAGGGCCGCTGGCATTGAAGAGAGCGTGGGAGCAGCTAACCAAATGCTGTGTATATCTGAGGTTAACTATATGTGGGGTTTTTTTTTTTTGTCACAACTATGGGTAAATTTTAAGCAGGAGGTGTTATAGGGTGTGGGGAAGTCCTCAATCAGGGGGCATCGCCATTCAGTCCTGTATCTGTACTCCTCGAAGCTGGATATAGGCTGATGGAGTTCGGGTTACTTTTTCGCCTTCTTCCAGTCCTGTCTTAGTCGCTGTGGTGAGGTTGTACGTCCGTGTTGTTTGCGAACTGGTAGGTCCCATTGTTTCAGGGCCCTCAGTCCTTCCTCCGGCGTTGTCACATGTGTAAAGGTACCATTGCGCTGGATAATCAGGCGCACCGGGTGACCCCATCTGTATGGGATCTTGTTGTCCCGCAGCGTTTCTGTAGTCTCCTTGAACTCCCTTCGCCGTTGTAGGGTGGCTGCTGATAGGTCAGCATATATTTGTAGTTGGCCATATTTAGCTGGAAGGTTTGTACGGTTCCTGGCAGCTTTGAGTATGGCCTCTTTGACATGATAATAGTGTAGATGGGTCAGCGTATCTCTCGCCGCCTCGGCTGGTAGAAACTTCGGTTTGGCTACTCGGTGGGCCCGGTCTAGCAGGATCATCTCCGTCGCTATTTCTGGTATGAGACATTTGAAAAAACCTGTCAGGAATTCGGGTATGTCAGCTTGCGTTATCGATTCCGGTATGCCCCGGATTCTCAGGTTCTGTCTCCGTGACCTGTCTTCCAGATCTGAGAGTTTGAGCTGGGCTGAGGTAAGTTGCTGTTCCAGGGCCTTAACGTGGTCTGTCAGGTCGTTATGGGCCTCTTCGTATTCGCCCATGCGGTTTTCCACGTGAGCCGTTCTTTCGCCCAGCTCCTGGATGTCCTTGCCCAATGCAGTGACCGATGCTTGAATTTTGTTGAGCAGTTTGTCGGACATTTTGTCCAGGCATGCTATCAGGAACTCCTGTGTGACAGGGAGATTCCCAGGGTCTGGTGAGTTATGGAGGGGGAGGATGTCGTCTCCGCCGCCATCTTGGTCTGCCTCATGCTGGCCCTGGGCTCTGGAAGGCGCGGATCTCGCCGTGAAGAAGCCTGATTTCTCAGCTCTGTCAGGGATTTTCTTACCCTTCTGCTGCGACATGCTTGTGGGGCGAGTGATGCCGGGTTTCGTCTCGAGGTATGCTGGGTTTAGTCGCTTCGTGGGCTAATCTAGGAGCGGAGCGCTAGTGCTGTGCGACCATCCGCTTCAGCGTGCAGGCCACGCCCCATTTGTTGATGAATTTTTGAGTTTTGGATTACTACAGTATATTTCAAACTAAACCTCTCTAACCTAATAGTATTTGATAAAATCCAGTTTATTTATCATCTGTTACACACTTTTCATCTGAAGTCACGAAGTTTCCAAAAATGAACCATTGCAATATGTACGTCTCCAACACTGCAGCTCCTGTATTTCTCAGTCTAACATGTTTGGTTTATTATTTGACTTCACAGTTGAGTGACTTTCACGTTGAAAAATGTACTAGGAGGTTGGAAATCAGTTCACAATTAATTATTAATATTTTCAGTCTCAATGAAACCTCTACTAAATTGGGTGTTGTTTGTGATTATTAATAATTGCTGGCTAAGTTACACCTCAAGGTCTGGTCAATTTTTAAGCAGGTATTGCTCAGTCCCCTGACCTCCAAATAGAGCCCTACTTGGCGGGGAGGCAAGGAGGCATTATAGGATATCTGAGGCTTAATAGCGCCACACAAGTGACTCCTCACCTCTGAAAAGTTTAACATCGCACAGTAACCAGTGTCGCAAAGTGTAATGTCACACTGTATAACATGGAATTGGAAAATATGATACCCCCCAAAAAGATATAGGTAGACTTGCTTCTCTCTGGAGAATCAGCATTGTGGATGAATAATGTGGTTCCGATGTAAGAATGTATTTATTTAACATTTTTGTTATATAACACCCTTCCCTTGGGTGCTTTATATAGAAATAATACAGTCATTAATTATTAAATCAATAAAGCAATGAAACCGCACCTTTTAGCATTATAGAAATCGTACCACACATAAAATCAGGAGGAGTCACATTAGGTTGATATAATAATACATTCATTAATGAACACATTGATTATACATCATTAAAAAGTACATAAAACATCATACATTCATCAGAGGACGCATAAAACCTTAGAATCAGGTGGATTCAGGCTGTGAAAGAAAGACAGGAGAGGAAGACAGGAAGAGGTAATGGTGGTGGATATCACAGAGAGGAATACAGAGTATTTAGGCAAGGTATTATGGTCAGGGGAGTTGAACCAGAAAATTAAATTTTGGAGGTGTGGAGGTTTTGTTTATTTCATGAGTGTTCAAAAGGTCACATTTTTTCAGGGATAATTGTTTGACAGTTCAATCAGAAAATAATCAAGAGTAATTTCTGAACAGTATTATTAAACGAACTCGCTCCCTCCCCTTCCTGTAAAAGTGACATTCATAACAGGTTCGAAAACTATGAACAAACGCCAAAAAGTAGAAACATAAGAGACAACACAACCACAGTACATATGTGAGGATATCCACTTAAGTGAATGAATCCTTCATAGATATGTGGTTATATTTTATTTCCATAATTTATATGAGTTGGGAACTAGTGAATGGCTAGAAGATATATTTTTTTATAGTTTATTGAGGTATTACACACACATAAATTTACTAGATGGAGTAAAAAACTAAAATATTCCAGATTTACAAACATACAATTTATAAACAGATGTGTAGGAAAAAACCTCAGGCAGTAGTACACTGGGGGTGTGGTCCACCCTGGCTAACAGTGAGAAGGTTGGAGCTCACACTTTTGCACTGTCCTAGTCTGTAGCATGACTAAGTCGAATAGTGACTGTGAGTTGTATCTATTGAAGATTGCAGAGGAGAAGGGTTAAAAGACGCACGACTAGATAGAAGAAGAGGTGAAAGGCACACAAGAGGTTAGGAGAGGAGAAAAACACATGAAAGACACATAAAGGTAAGGGAAAAGAGAGAAAAACAGACAAATGGTGGGGTGGAGAGAACCACAAGGGGATGGGGGGGATGTGTGTAAAATAGCCAAAGTAAAGATAAATTTGGGAGATTAGGGTCAGAAGGGCACATATGCGTGATACACAAGTGGGAAGACTTGAGATGCAAGTGGGAGAGAGGTGTAAGTTGAGAAGGATGGAAAAGGATATGATGGGAGACACAAGTTATGGGAATGGGAGAGAAAAACAAATGAGGGAATGTAAGAGAGATATAGAAGTGGGGTCAATGTAGAGACCAAAGTGGACAAAACAATATTCAAAATCACACACATTTAAAACACACAAATACACACCTTCATTCACTTATTACACACAATCCAACATTATTGACCCTGTCATGGATAAATAATCCAAAGATATGATCAAGAGAAACCAAACTGTACTTCAAGCTCGGGGAAGTCAAATAAGACACACACAGTTACTGTGAATCTAAATTTACTTCTGCTTTATTGGTAGAGCTTACAAGATTATATAGTACTTTGTGACTTGCGAAACAAAAACAGGATGCTTGAAGGCACTTGTTATGTACCATAAAATAAATTTACAGAACTAAGCATATATCAACAGTTATATATATATATATAAAACATGAAGTTAGTTAGGACACAAGAAGGGGGGCTGAGGGTAAAGCTGCAATCGTCTCCTCAGAAACCACAGAATGTCACAAGTAAAGAAATTATGCTTACTTATCAGGCACTGAAACGAGGGTAAAAATTCAAAGCATATCATGATCTAAGTTAGCAAATTTAGTAAAAACAGACTGGTCATCTATAGCTTGAGCCTTGGGTCAAGGTGCCTTCCATCACAATGCCCCTCTTTTTGACCCCAAGGCTCACCCAGGTGTCTGAGGTATGTCTCGGTATGCTAGTCATACCTGTGGGTCTTTTATTATGCCTTCACCACGGTTTCCTCAGACAGGGCTAGCCAGGGGTCACAGGAGGAATGTCCCTTCATCAGTTATACATCGCTGTAGGTGTCAGAGGTTGAGGAAGCTGGCATATAAGTTAAGGTACGACCAACATGAGGTTTTGATTTACACAAGGATGATAGAAGACAGGAGAAGATCTTAAATGTCAGAAAAATCATCATTATGACTAATAGTGTGTTACGATGACTGGCGTGTATCCACGTGGCTTTTCCTTCTAGTTTCACCGAGGTGGCTGTGGTTAGCAGCACTTGGAAGGGACCATCAAATCTTGTCTCAAGCCCTTTTCTCACGTGTCTTTTTATCACTACCCAATCTCCAGGTTGTAGTTTATGAGTGGTAGAAGTCTGAAACTGGAATAGAGTCAAATACTTGTTTATGCACCTGTCCTAACTTCTTATGCAGGGCCTGGACATAGGAGGTCATGTTACTATGTTGTAATTAGAGTGTTTGGGAGAAATATAGTCCTGTCTTGGGGGCATAGCCAAACAAAATCTCAAAAGGGGATAGGCCATTTCTTGGCTGAGGGGTGAATTTCATAGAGAAGAGTGTTAGGGGAAGGCATTCCGTCCAAGGCTTCCCTGTCTCCTGCATGGCTTTTGTAATTTTATTCTTTAGGTTGCCATTTGCCCTTTCTACTTTCCCACTACTCTAGTGGTGGTAAGGGGCATGGAAGGCCTGACTGATCCCTAGTGCCTTCATTATTTCTTGCATTATTTACCCAGTGAAATGGCTACCTCTGTCACTTTCAATCACTTCAGGTACCCCGTATCTACATACCAGTTCCTTCAGAAGCTTACTTGCTGTGAGTGACCTTTGTTGTGGCTTTTGACACTGGGTAGACCTCAGGCCAACCTGAAAAGAGATCAATGCACACCATGCATATTCATACACTCCTACCTTAGGCAGTTGAATATAGTCTATCTGCAGTCTCTGAAATGGGTAAAGTGGCCTTGGGATATGCTTACCTGGTGTTTTAACAGTCTGTCCGGGGTTATTCCTAGCACAAATCATGCAAGCTCGGGTATGTTTAGCTGCTACAACAGTAAACCCAGGTGCCACCGAATGGGTATTCACTATACAGTACATGTTCATCTTGAATAAATGTGTGGGTGCATGGGCTACTTGAGCCATCATAGGGTAAAACATCTTGTCATCATCAGGTTCTGCATCTTGTTCTTCTTTGCTTGCTTGCTTCTGCAGGCTCAACAATATATTGTAGTCAAAAGTCTTTTCTGGAAGGACAACCTGTAGGAAGGTATTACCTGTAGAAGGATGACTTTGGATTGCTGCTTGCTTGGCAGCTTCGTCTGCTTTGTGGTTTCATCTGTGATCTTCACGTGAGCTGCCACCTTGATGATGCCTACTTGAGTGGGTAGCAGGATAGTGTCCATAAGTCCCCTCACGGCTTCAGATTTCTTGATTGGAGTTCCTGCTGAGGTGAGAAAATCACGAGCCTACCATATAGACCCCAAATCATGGGCTATACCAAAGGTATAGCGAGAGTTTGTGTAAATATTAGCTGTCTTACCAGAGGCCAGTTTGCATGTTTCAGTGAGTGCCATCAGCTCAGCCTCCTGTGCAGAGCAGTGAGGGGTGAGTGGTTCAGCTTTAATTACCTTGTGTGCAGAGACTACAGCATATCCAGTGTGGAAATTGCCCTTCTCATGAACATATCTGGAGTCATCTACAAAAAACACAAAGTCTGGATTAGACAATGGAGACTCTCTTACATGTAAAAAACCTGATGTCACTTGTGCCATTAATGCTGCACAATCATGGGGTACCTGGGCTTCAGCTAACTCGTCTGGTGAAAGGGAATTTACAAAAAGATCAGAATCACCACACCTGTCTTTTGAATCCAGGGGAAGCAATGTAGATGAATTTAACACCATATACCTTTTCAAAGTTACGTTTGGAGACATGAGGAGAGCACACTGCATCCTGAGATGCCTTGCAGTATGTATGTGTTTCAGCTGAACTTGTGATAGTATGCTGTTAATAAAAAGTATAAAACAATCAAGTAAAAATGGCGCTATAAAATAAATAGAAATAGTATCACTTATCAAAGGCTAGCAAGCACTAATAAAAGTGAAAATAGCTCTAAAACCACTCTAATCAAATACAAAAAAAGAATAAAAGT